AACTCTACGAAGGTAAGGATTGTTAGTGCACAAAAATCAATGATGAACAAAGAATAAATTTAAGAGAATGACGACTGTAAACTGCAAGAGGAATAAAAATGTTGTTGTTGTATTTATGACATTTACAACTAATCTATTTATACACAAAGAGAATGTCACATAGGCCCTAATAGAATAGACTTAATAACAAAGTTATCTAAAATAATTAGAAATACTAAAATACCCTTTAATATCATCCCTTAATTTAGAATTTCTAATTAAAGCTAACAACACCAATTTCATCCCTTAAGCGAAGAAATTAATCCATCTTGATTGTCTTTGTCATGATATTTGCCAACTGCTTCTGGGTGTTACAGTGCACAACTTCTAGTACTTTGTTCTGAACTTGGATTTTAAGAAAATGATACTTTGTCTCAATATGCTTGCTTCTCCCATGTAGTATTGTGTTCTTGGCAAGATTGATTACATACTTGTTATCAATCATCAATTTCAGAGGCTTGTCTACGTTGATCTTCAGATTCTGCAATAAATTCAGAAGCCACACAACTTGACATGCAACTATAGCACCGGCAATATACTTAGCTTCACAAGTTGATAGAGCAAAAATGAATTGCTTCTTGAAACACTAAGAAATAGGACCTCCCATAAACTTAAACAAGTATTTAGAAGTACTTCTTCTATCAGCTCTATCTCCACACCAATCAAAATCAGAATAACTCATCAACTATGAATCTATTTTTCTTCTAGAAGGGAATAGTACTCCAAACTTCATAGTTCCCTTGATATATCTCAGAATCTTGACAGTAGCTTGATAATGGGACCACTTAGGTTTACTCATGAACCTACTAACCAATCCAACCACATAACAAATATAGGCATGATATTACACAGATACCTCAGAGAATCTACCAACTGTTTGAACATTGTAACATCTACGTCTTCACCCTCAAAGTTAGAATCCAATTTATAATTGGTTTCTGACGGTGTAACAGCGACCTTACAGTTCTCCAATTTGAATTTCTTCAGAAGCTCAAGTTCATACTTCAGCTGATGTAAAATTATACCTTGTTCAGAGTATAATACCTTCATCCCTAGAAAGTAAACCAACTTTCCTAGGTCAGTCATCTCAAACTCATTCGTCAGAGTCTTCTTGAACTTGACAACTTATTCAGAGAAACTTCCCGTCAGTAATATGTCATCAATATAAAGACATACCAGAATAATATTGCTTTTAGAATGATGAACATACACGTCATACTCCATCTCACACTTCTGAAAACCTCATTTCTTAAAAAATGAATCAATCTTCAAATTCCAAGCTCTGGGCGCTTGCTTCAATCCATACAAAGTTGTATGTAATTTGTACACCATCCCTTCCAGATTCTTTTTCACAAATCCATAAGATTGTGAAACGTATACCTCTTCTTGTAATGGACCGTTCAAAAATGTAGACTTCACATCCAGATGCATCAGAGGCCAATTTCTATTTGCAGCTAAAGCAATCACCAGTTTGATTGTTTCATGTCTAGCTACAGGTGCAAATACCTCAAAGTAATCTAGCCCAGGTTTCTGAAGAAAACCTCTAGCCACTAACCTTGCTTTATGCTTGCCAATTGATCCATCTGGCTTAAGCTTCACCTTGAAAACCCATATGACGCTGATGGATTTCTTCTTATCTGGAAGCTTATTCAACTTCCAGGTCTTGTTTCTTTCTATAGCCTCAAGTTCTTCTTTCATGGCATTCATCCATACTTTCTTATTGAGAGCTTCTTCAACACTCACAGGTCCAGAGTCTACTAACATGGCATATTGAACAATTTCTCCTTCTTAATCTACTTCAACGTCTTGCAACATGTCAAACTCTTCAAACCTTCTTGGTATCCGTTTGATTCTTTTTGGCCTCTGAACTTGTTCAGAAACTCTTTCTAATTCTGGAACAGTATCAAATACTTGACCACCTTCAGAAGTTGGATCGCCTTCAAAACCTTTACTTTCTGAAGTTTCACCTTCAGAATCATGACCTTCACTAGAAACATGATCATCTTTATAAGCTTGTCCTCCAGAACCTACATTTTTAGAGTTTTACCTTCTAGAAGCATGACCACCACCAGATTCTGAATCATCACCAAAATCTGGATCAGAATCAGATTCACCATCTGACTCATCTCCAGAGTTTCCATAATATTATCTTCAGAAATAAATTGATACTTGTTTCAATTTCATACTTCTGATTCTTTTACAATGACGTCTATGCTGACTTCAACTTTATTCGTTTCTGGACAATAAAGCTTGTATGCACCTGTATTGTGGTACCCCACCAGAATCATTACTTTGCTTTTATCATCCAGCTTCTTTCTTCTAGCTTCTGGAATGTGTTTGTAACATACATAATCAAACACCTTCAAATGACTAATACTTTGCTTATCTCCAATCCACTTTTCTAAAGGAACAATTTCCTCCAGCTTCTTTGTTGGGCATCTGTTAAGAAAATACGCTGACGTAGCTACAACTTCTCCCCACAAGTTATGAGGTAGCTTCTTCTCTTTCAGCATGCTTATGGTCATATCAAGCAAAGTATGATTTCTTCTTTCAGCAAGACTATTATGTTGATGAGTATAAGAAGCAGTAACATCATGCTCAATTCCATTCTCATCACAGAACTTCTGGAATTCTGTAGAGTTATACTCAACTCCACCATCCGTTCTAAGAATCTTTAGCTTCTAACCACTTTATTTCTCAGCCTTCACCTTGAACTTCTGAAACTCAGTAAACGCCTCATGTTTAAACTTGATAAGTGTTACCCACATCATTCTTGTGAACTCGTCCACAAAAGACACAAAATATCTATTTCCTCCAAGTGAAGGTTGTGGAAATGGTTCACACACGTCAGAATGCACTACTCCCAAAGCATGTTTTGCTCTTGGGGCTACTTCTGACACAAATGGAAATCTGGGTTGCTTTCCTTTCATGCATACCTCACATGATTTCTCAGGCATCATAATCTTCAGAATACCACGTACGAGCTTCTTAGAACTCAGATGCCATAAACTTCTATAGTTCAAATGCCCCAACCTCTTGTGCCACAACTTACTATGAAATTCAACGTCTTATGAACTAAAACATTATGCTTCTGCTATCTCCACATTCACCTTGAATGTCTCGTTTCTTCCTTGTTCTGATTTCATAATCAGCTTTTGATTAACATCATACAACTTCAAGAGATTGTCCTTCATAATAACTGAGAAACTTTCTCAATGAGCTGACCCACGCTCATCAGATTACACTTAATTCTAGGAACATATTAAACATCCTTGATCAAAACGGTCTTCCCATTCTTCAGTATAACTTTGACATTTCCCATATCTTCTTCATTAAGGTACTTATCATCAGCACGTCTGATTTTTATCCTCCTTCTGGAGTCAAAATCTATCAACCATTGTTTTCAATCAAGTGATTCGAACAGTAATTGTCCATATACCACCAGTCTGCCAAACACTTTCCATCAAACTCATAAGTCATCAATAACACAGGTTCATCATCACAATCTCCTCTGGATATATTTGCTTCTTCTGATCTCATTCCCTTATTTTATGAATAATCTTTAGCAAAATGGACAAACTGCTTACAACAATAACATTGAACCTACTTCTTGTCAAACTTCTCCTTACCCTTTCGAGGTTTCTTCTCATCAGAAGTAGAAGTTTATGACTTCTGGAATCTCTCACCATGTCTATTCTTGGTTTATGACCAAGAATGCTTCTGGTCCTTCTTGACAAAAAAAAGCCTTCAGAGCCTGCTCAATTTCCCTCTCAGAAGTTCTTTCAGTCAGGCGCAACTCATGCGCTTCTAGACTACTTTGCAACTCTTCTATTCTCATAGTTTCCAGATCTTTAGAATGTTCAATTGCTACAACAATGTAATCAAATTGAAGAATGAGTGACCTTATCTTCTCAATGATTACTTGTTCAGAAAAGGTTTCTTTACAAGCCTTCATCTCATTAGTGATCAGAATCACTCTAGAGATGTACTCATAAACCTTCTCATTGTTCTTTATGTTGAGATTCTCATATTGATTTCGCAAGGACTGAAGTTTTACCTTCTTCACTGATGTGTCACCACCATAGCATTTGACCAGTGTGTCCCAAGCCTCATTCTTCGTCGTCGAGTCAACAATCTTCTCAAACACATTCACATTCACACATTGATGGATGTAGAACAACGTCTTCTGATCTTTCTTCCTCTTGTCTCTTTGTTCATCTCTCTCTTCTTCTGTCGCATCTGCTACAACCAGAAAATAGCCTTTGGTAACAAGCTCAAGCGCATCTTGAGCATCAAATAGCACGCACATCTGAATCATCCATCTGTTTCAAACTTTGCCATCAAAAACAGAAAGTTTGGTACTCAGACTACTGTTTCCGTTCATCCTTAATCTTGTACAACTCACTCAGATCTCACAAGCACGTTGTTTCTCAAATCCACAGAATCAGAAAAAAAAAATGTGATTATGTTCAAAATTCAACACGAACCCATAACCAATATCAATCACACAAAAGCCTCACGTTTGACACGTGTTTCGCTATGTTTCCCTGTGGATCAGAACCAGAGCTCTAAATATCAATCTGTTAGTGCACAAGAATCAATGATGAACAAAGAATAAATTTAAGAGAGCAAAGAGAATAACGGTTGTAAAGCTGCAAGAAGAATAACAATATTGTTGTTGTATTTATGACATTTACAACTAACCTATTTATACACAAAAGTGACTGTCACACATACCCTAATAGAATAGACTTAATAACTAAATTATCTAAAACAATTAAAAATATTAAAATATTCTTTAATAAAGATGATGTTAGGCTCAGAATTAGATAATTTAACATTTTACCTGCGCTTCTTATTTATAGTGCTACTAAATAAAATAGTTATTAGCAAATAAAATAGTCGTGTTATAGGAAGATGAAAAATGCATATATTAGTTCTGCTTTATTTTATTTCATAAATTACACAATTAAACAAATGAAGAACATAACATAATAGTCCATATTTACATGAATCATGTACCACTCTCTATGAAAGTGTCTTCCAATTAAACTAACATTCATTATAGCAGGATCAGCAGAAGCAAATGGATTTGGTGGCATACTTAACTTACCTCCATCTCCTTCCAACATATGAACAACAACTTGCATTGAAGGACGATCCACCGGGTGCCACTGAATACACCAAAGTCCCGCAATCGCAAGTTTCTTTGCTATTTTCGCGTATTTCTCCACCTCAATATGTTCACTCAAATCATCCCCTTGCTCTAACAAATTATAAATCCATTCCGGAAAATACCCTAAACCACTTCTCGTGTCTACAACATCGACATTTTGTCTTCCCCCGACCATCTCAAGTAACAACATTCCAAAACTATACACATCAGACTTATACGACACGTTTCCAAAGTTTCTAGAAAAAAATTCTGGTGCTATGTAACCAATAGTCCCCCTAGCCGCGGTCATGGAAACCGCACTTTGATCCTTTGAACAAAGCTTAGCCAAACCAAAATCAGATATCTTAGGAGTCAAGTTATTGTCAAGTAAGATATTATGCGGCTTTATATCAAAATGAAGTATCCTTTGGTCACATCCTTGGTGAAGATACTCGATCCCTTTCGCTATTCCAAGCGCGATTTCTTGTAACTTCTCCCAACTCAAAAAATGGTTTCTGAAATCCGTCATGGAGATATACTTCTGCAACGAACCATTTGGTAAATACTCGTAAACAAGCGCTCGCTTGTGTCCGTCCGCACAAAAGCCTACTAAGTGAACAACATTAACATGATGAATTTGACTCATTGTTCCTACTTCATTGATGAACTCAGGTCCATTTCCTGTCGAAGTTTTGAGAAGCTTGACCGCAACATATATATCGCTTGATAGTTTACCTTTGTACACCATTTCGTATGCTCCTTGTCCAAGTTCGTTCTTGAAATTGTTTGTGATCCTTTTTATGTCTGAATAGGAATACCTTGTAGGTTTCAATGCTCTATAATCTTCTAAGAACTTTTCTATTCTTGCTTCATTTTCTTTGTCTTTTTGAGTTCTGTATCGAACATGATATAATGTTGTGACTAGTAGTAAAATTCCAAGACAAGATAGTATCGGTACTGCACAAATCATAGTAAAGAATTAATCAAAACCTCCAAGATATTTTACACTGTCAATCAAATACAACTGTCGTATCATAAAAAAATATTGTAATTTGCCAACGGTATAAAAAGTAACATGATTTATGAGTAATTGTTACCTAGAATTTCCATTTTTCTCCTTGCTCCTGTAAAAAAATATCAACAACATTTTAATATTGAATTGGTTTCTTATTATAACTATTTCTATAAGATGTTTCACTTTGAAATAGGCCAAATTATAGAACAAAATACCTTTAGATTTGTTGACAGTGTTGTAACATTCTTGTTTTGTTTCACTATGATTGCCATAACTTGTATCCCATCCTAAAACAAAACCATCACCATGGCTTAAAACAACATCTTCTGGAACAAAATCCATGTCATACAACTTGGTACAATATATCAAAGGAACATCCTTAATTTGAAGTGTGGAGTCCAATGCATACACTTGGTATCCATGGGAAGAAAGACATTTAATGGAAGAATAATAAGATTGTAAAGCAGTGTTCATGGATGAACAATTGAAGAGTGTATAATTGGAATTTGGATTGGAGTTGTCAATGAAATGAAAAGGAATGGATGATAGATTGAGTTTTGAAAGGAGTTTTGGAAGACATCCATTTGGGTTAGTCACATAAATATTTTGGGACTTGTAATCAATTTTTTTTACAATGAAATTGATTGAAGTTGGCAATTTTAGTATGGTTTTGTGATTTTCATTGCATGAAAGATCAAACCCAGGTTTTCCATAATTTTGTGGTTGAATGTTTTGGAGTCTAAAAGGGTATTGAATAGTGGGAGCATCTTTGTGGTTACACCTTGTTTGTAAGCAGGAGAACAATGTTTATAAGAGAGAACAGAAGAAAGAGGATATGTAATTTTATTGGAAGAAGGACTAGAATGAGATGTAAGAGTGGAATAACAGTGATAATCAGATAAGTAGCTAGGGGGATTGGAAGTTCTGATGGACTGCCTTATAGGAGGAATAGGAGTAGGGAAGTCTATGGACTGATTAGACAACTCAGGAGAAGAGACATGAGGATTCTGACTTTGGTCAGAAGGCACAGGAAAAGATGTGGCACTAAAAGGACTAGATGTACCAGAAGGACTGTGAGGGGATGTAACAGCAGAGGGACTAAAAGATAAAGGAGATCTAGGATTATAGGGAGATTGAGGAGTACCACTGCTGTCAGGAGAAGTACTAGGAACAGATGGTGAAGTCAACTCAGTGCTGCTATGGTCAATAGCATTGTTAAATGGTGATGGCATGTCAAGAAAGTCATTGAGAACAGAAGAAGGAATAGAGGAAGGAGGGGATGACACAAAAGAAAGTTTGAATGGAAAAACATCTTCATAAAAGATGACATTTCTAGACACAGAAATAGCATGACTATGAAGATTGTAAACTATGTACCCCTTGGTACCATCCCTAAAACCAAGAAAGATAAATTTGTGAGCCCTAGGATCAAATTTGGTCCTATGTGCTTGCAAAGTAGAAACAAAACATAGACAGCCAAACACCTTTAAGTGTATGATGGAAGGTGCTTGTTTAAACAAAATTTCATAGGGAGATTTTGATTTTAAAAGGGGTGTGGGTAGTCTATTTATAAGGTGAACAGCATGTTGTACACAGAAGTTCCAGAGAGATAAGGGGACATTGGAATGAAAATATAAGGCTCTAGCAACATTAAGAATATGTTGGTGTTTTCTCTCAACTACACCATTCTGTTGAGGAGTCTCTGTTAGAACAATGTTTGAATCTAGTACCCTATATTTAAGTTTTGATGATAACAAAGTGAAAAGATATGGTATTTATATGTTTCATGTTTGAACTATATGCTGCCTAAAATTACTATGCTCTGACTTGCAGATACGCTGATTAAAATAAGCAAGATCACTTCTTCAGCATCAGAATTTGATTTGATACACCAGCATCAGAAGTTGCTGAATCAGAACATCAAGATCAGATGATCAACTCGCGTACATGCTGAAGCTTGATGAACAGAACTGCGCGTAAACACTCTGATACAGAATCAAATAGTTCATCAGCAGCGAAGCAGAATCAGAATGAGCCAAGCCAGAACGTGCATTGAAGAAGCAACGGTACTGTGCATTGAACGCCAATTAATTCCAACGGCATCATTCTAGACAAGATCTGCTCAAAAAGGAAAGCTTGTTATTAGCATTGAATCAAGAATATTACATTCAACGTTCATCTTCTCAAGTGCTATATAAACAAGGCTTCGAAGATTATAATGGCTAATGCTTCCAAATTCTCTACACGCACAAAGCTGAACAATAATCTTCATCTACCAGTTTTGCTAAACCAACAAACTCTGATACTCCATTAGTGTTTAGCAATCTAAGTTTCTAAGCTTCATTTGTGTATACATCACAGTTGTGATAAAGTTTTGTAGAAAACATTCACACACATTTGTTTTATACCTTTGTAAGAAAGTGTTGCCTTGACAAACCGGATTGTGGTTTGAATCAAGAAGGCTTTAGCAGTTGTTAAAGCAGATTTGTATTCAGTTGAATATAGTGAATTAAGACCTCGTTGGAGAGAGGCGAAATCACCTTGACGGGTGGACTGGAGTAGTTTGAGATCAAACGAACCAGGATAAAAATATCTTGTCAATTGCTTTAAGATTCCAGTTTTACAATTCAACCCCCCCCCCTTCTTGTGTTTTTCACCCCTTCAATTGGCATCAGAGCGCCTGGTTCTGAGCTAAAACACTTAACCGTGTCAGTACAAGATCCAGCGTCAGAAAAACACAATGGCAGGAAACAACTCTCATTTCAGCAATGACAACAATGAGGACAGAGACAGATTCAGCGGCAAACCTCCAGTCTTTGATGGAGAAAACTTTGATTACTGGAAAGACAGAATTGAAAGCTTCTTTCTAGCACATGATGCTGATCTGTGGGATATGGTGACAGATGGATACACGCACCCTGTGAATGCAACTGGTCAGAAGATTGAAAGAAAATCAATGACTGATCAACAAAAGCGTGATTTCAAGAATCACCATAAGGCCAGAACCATCCTCCTCAGTGCCATCTCCTATACTGAGTATGAAAAGATCTCCAACAGAGACACAGCTAAGAACATCTTTGATTCTCTCAGAATGACGCATGAGGGCAACGTTCAAGTCAAAGAAACAAAAGCTCTGGCGCTCATTCAGAAGTATGAGGCGTTCAAAATGGAAGAATCTGAATCCATTGAAACTATGTTCTCTAGATTCCAGATTCTGGTAGCTGGTCTCAAAGTTCTGGACAAAGGATACTCTACTGCTGACCATGTCAAGAAGATAATCAGAAGTTTACCCAAGCAGTGGAGGCCTATGGTTACTGCTCTGAAGCTAGCGAAGGATCTCAACAAAATCACTCTGGAGGAACTTATAAGCTCCCTCAGAAGTCATGAGATAGAGCTAGAAGCTGATGAGCCTCAGAAGCAAGGTAAGCCTTTAGCTTTAAAATCTAACAGAAAATCTGAATCTAAAGTTTTGCAGGCAGTTGAAGAAACATCTGATGGATCCTCATCAGAAGAAGACGAACTTTCCCTTCTCTCCAGAAGAGTAAATCAACTGTGGAAGCAAAGACAAAGGAAGTTCAGGAATCCCAGAAGATCTGATCAGAACGAGTCTTCTTCCAAATACAGAAGGACAGATTCTTCCTCTGGATACAGAAGATTTGAAGGCTCCTCCGGTAGCAAGAAGCCAAACACAAAAGACATCATCTGCTACGAGTGCAATGAGCAAGGACACTACAAGAGTGACTGCCCAAAGCTTCAGAGGGAAAAGCCCAGAAAGAAGTTTGGAAGAGAGAAGAAGAAAAGTCTCATGGCCACATGGGATGACTCTGACTCGTCTGAAGCTGACTCAGAATCAGATGATGAAAGGGCAAACATAGCGCTCATGGCTAACATTCCAGATGACAGTGAAGCTTCTGAATCAGACTCAGAATCAGACACAGAAGAGGTATTCCCTAACTTCGCTGTTAATTTTACAAAGGCTGAACTTGCTGAAAGCCTCAATGAAATTCTGGAACGTTATCAGCAGATTAGAGCTAAATTCAGAGACCTGAAAAGGAATCTTGAATCTGACTCTAATAAGTCTGAGAGTCTCAAATTGGAAAACTCTGAGCTGAGAGATAAAATTTCAAAATTAGAAAACTCTTTACAAAACTCTCAGAAGGAACCAATTTCAGAAACTCCCAGCAACGCTGATGAGATCATCAAGGAGTATGATCATAGTTTCCAGAAGTTCCTCGCTAAAAGCATAGATAGAAGCAGAATGGCTTCAATGATCTATGGAGTTAGCAGAAACGGCAGGAAAGGAATAGGATACCTAGGTAAGGTTCCTACACCTAAAAATGTCATGGATTTAACTATTAAACACACTCCTCTAAATTCACACTTTGTGTATGGTCACACACATGACATCAAATATACTAGTAGTAAGCACTCTGTGAAACCAAAATTCAACCAGAGTTTTGGTAAAACTAACAAATCAGGACCCAAGAAGATCTGGGTACCTAAGGATAAAATAATACATGTTGCAGATATCTTTAGCAGCAGGTCAGAAACACCAGTCATGGTACCTGGACTCTGGCTGCTCACGACACATGACGGGAAGAAGGCATATGTTCCAAAGCCTGGAACTTAAGCCTGGAGGCCACGTTGGCTTTGGAGGCAATCAGAGGGGAAAGATTATTGGCTCTGGAACTGTAGGTAACGGAAATCTTCCCTCTATTAATAATGTTCTGCTAGTTGATGGATTGATGCATAATCTGTTATCCATAAGTCAATTAAGTGATAACGGTTATGATATAATCTTTAATCAAAAATCATGTAAAGCTGTTAGTCAGAAAGATGGGACTATCCTGTTTAATGGAAAGAGGAAAAATAACATTTACAAAATCAAACTTTCTGAACTAAAGAGTCAGAACGTAAAATGTCTTCTGTCTGTTAACAACGAGCAGTGGATCTGGCACAGAAGATTGGGGCATGTTAGTATGAGAAGAATATCTCAGATTAACAAACTCAATCTGGTCAGAGGACTTCCTAATTTGAAGTTCAATTCAGATGCTCTGTGTGAAGCATGTCAGAAAGGCAAATTTGCAAAACCTTCTTTTAAATCCAAAAATGTTGTTTCTACCTCTAAGCCATTAGAACTTCTGCACATTGACTTATTTGGACCAGTTAAAACTGCTTCAGTCAGTGGTAAGAAGTATGGGTTAGTAATCGTAGATGACTATAGCAGATGGACATGGGTAAAGTTCTTAAGACACAAGGACGAGTCACACTCTGTGTTTGTTACCTTCTGTAACCAAGTTCAAAATGAAAAAGATCTTAGAATCGTTAAAGTCAGAAGTGATCATGGTGGAGAATTTGAAAATAAAGATTTTGAGTCATTCTTTAATGACAAAGGCATTCTGCATGATTTCTCTTGTCCTAGAACTCCCCAACAAAATGGAGTTGTAGAACGAAAGAACAGAACATTGCAAGAA